GCTTTCTTCAGAAGATGTTTACAAAGAAAAACCCCATTTAAATGTGACAAGGGGGATAACTGCCTCATTGATGAACAACAGAAAGGTCTGAATTGTTCAGCTTGTCGCCTAAAAAAATGTCTAGAAAATGGAATGTCAAAAGAAGGTAATTTAAATATTTACATTCAGTGATGTTATATATATAAAGAATAATTTTACATAGGTATATTTCATAAAACATTTTTATACATGAAAGGTGCAAAATAACATGAGAATTTCTATTTCTTGATATGGTGTGACATGTATATAACAGTGAAATTTGACCATTTAAAATTTTTAATCCAGTTGGGAGCATTTTAAAGCTAGTTTTACTGAAGAGCCTTGAAGTGTTAAATTTCAGGTAGTGCCAATTTTGGCAGCTAATTCCCCCTCATGATTTCCAAGCTTAAAATGCCCTTAATGAAAACTCCATAAATGCTATGTATGCAGTGTAGCTATATAATGATCTTTAATCAACCAATATTAAATAAATCTAAACAGTAAACACTCTCTTTCAAAACAAAATTACTTACTTCATAAATCTGCATTTGTAAGCATATTATTTCAGCACCCTTCTACTGTAAATCTACTATGTCACGTGGGTTCAATTTTTCAGGTGTAAGAATAGGTCGCTACTCAACAGCTGAAAGAACCAATGTCATAATGGAAGTCAAGAAACTCCATGCCTCGATTAAAACCCCTGATCAACCATCCCTCACAAAAGAACCACCCTTCCCTACTACAGATCCCATAGGCAGCAACAGTCCCCCACCTTCTATAGACTTTCTCACAGACGAGCCAACAGACATTCCAGAAAGTTCTGATGTAATTTCTGACATTTTGAACATGCCCCAGGATTTAGTTACCATTGAGGAAGTGTTCTCATTCACAGAAAACATATGTTTAGAAATAGAGACATCACCAGTTGACAGTAGTAGTAGTGTCTCAACTGGACAATCACAAGATTCTTCTATTTCTTCGCCATTATCCATGAGTTCCCCTAACTCGGAGGAATCGGGTGAAAGTCTGGGTTCTCTGGTGGAGGCTTTGGAAAACAATCAGATAGTAGTGTTAGAAAGAGGCCAGATATCTTTACCAAAGGAATGCCTGAATCGGTGGTTAATTAACGAAGAGGCTAATCAGATCATTAACCAGCTAATGACAAGTTATCAATTTCTACAACCATTCTCAAAATCACTGACAGACGAGGAACGCAATGACATATTTACCCATGGTCTGGTAGGTATAACGAGTCAAAAAAAGAAAAACAAATACTTTATTCAGTAAAACTAAACCTCCATGTGCAGTATACATACACTCCAAGAAGTCAGAAACTATTGTTCATTGTTTATATGTTAAAAAATTCAGAAATTTTGAATTATTTCATTTTGTTCAGAATAATTGCATTTCCTCTTGGAATGTTGTATTATTAATAATTTATTATGGCAACACCCCAAAGCCAAGAGGCTTTTAAAGAAGTAATGACATTTGTTAACTTTATTTTGTTTGTTAACTTTACTCATCAGAGACCAGAAGAGGTTTCCTGATAGTAAGGTGTCTGTTGTCTCTCTAGCTTTCTGTTTGTCTGGAAACGATTGTTAAAAATGCCTCTGGTTTGATTTGAATATAACTTGCCAAGCAAGTTGACTACACTAACATATACAAGTACATGTAATTTATTTAATGTTTCATTGGTTTTAGATGAAGGGTATAGCCATAGTTAATAAAACTTGATTTTTTGTTGAGAAATTCTTTCAAAAGGTTACTCAATAGTTTTAATATGATTGCAGTAAATCTTACCACAAAGCAAAAACCCATTTTTGTTCTGATCAAGATTTCTGTGCTAAAATGGTGCAGTGTGGCATTGGTTAATTTCTAAACACAACCATGTTTGAATTTTAATTTGGTTGCTAAAGCTTTTCTTATCTTCTTATTCATAAATGCATACACAAAAGGATTTACGCAAGAATTAGCATATGATAAAGTTTTTGCAAATATGTCAACTTTAAGTAATTCTGAATAATTTGTAAAATTGGGATAAAAAGTCCACCACATGATTAGAACTTGTATCGGACCCCAAGAAAAAGCAAACAGGAGAATTAAAAGAGCCACCATCTTTACCGCTCTCCTAGTTTTCTTTGTTGTTCTTGTTCCCCCTGTCTAAGAAAAAAAAAATATTTAAAAAAATGAATAAATAAATAAAAGATTTTTAAAAATTCTTTTCTGATTGAATTTATTAATTTTATGTGTTAATTTTTTAAATACTAAAATTCCTTCACTGACCAATTTCATACCTTTTGAAGCATTTCCTTGTTTCTTTTGTACAAAACAAAGATAATTTTCAGATAACGAATACTGATGATAAGCAAAGGAATTCCGTATGTCGTCAAGAACAATCCCATGACCACTAGTACTTTTGATATGTACGAGATATAGGAATGTGCAACTGGCATTGACAAAACAGCAGACACTGTGAAAGATAAAACTATGTTCTGTTCATTATTTTAAAGTATTTTAAAAGAATTATTCCTGTAGTAAACGTCAGTCTTTATTTTTATGATATAATAAACAGGTTTTCTCACCAATCCACACTCCTATGGAGACCTTTAGTGAAGTTTTCGTTGTCCTCCATTTCAATGATTTTACTGGATACACAATGGCCAGGTATCTGTCAGTGGTCATCACCATCAGTGTCAAGCATGTCACGTGCACCGTTATCTGTGTAAAAATTACATTTTTTTGCAGGGATATAAATGCTTTAGTTTATGTCATGTCTGCATGTTTGTATGTTTTTTAATGTCCCTTTCAAGATTTTTTCACCCATATGTAGACACCACCACTTGCTGGTGGAGAGCTGCAAATTTTGTCCTTTTACTCGGCACTCAAAGCTATATTGAGCATTGAGGGATCTTTTTCATGCTAGTACCTACTGCAATCCAGAATCTCTGTTCATACAGTCTCATCCCAGGGACGGGCATGGTCTCCACATTCTACAGTGAGGATCAACTCCCTACCCCGCCACTGTAGAGCATGTGCTCTTATTACCACTTTGCACACAGGCACCATTTAATTTATGCATGATTAGGCAATTTTTTTTAAAAAGGGAGTAAACTCAAAGGAAAATGTAGTTGCAGTATTTAAAAAGAGAGGCTTTTTAATTAAAAATAAATACAAGATATTGCCCGCAAAAATGTTCCTATTCTTTTACTTACAGTCTGAAAAAACTCTACAAAATGGCGTCCTGCGCCTTCAAACAACTCTGGATCATTGCTCGTGATGTCAACTAAGGTCAAAGGCACCACAACATTTAAAAAAGCGATATCTGCTATTGCCAGGCTCAATATGTAGATAATTGTAGCTGATTTTGCTATATATCTGCATATAATGTATAGTTGTATACGGTTAGAGTATTCACAACACCTCCAACAATAACAATCACTGTCCATATAATGATTACCGGTAGTACAATCATGTCTTCACTAGAACCAACTGTTGTCATGGTTTCGTTCATCATTGTGGAATATATGAAGGTTTTGTTATCCATATAGACTCTTTTCAAATAGCGAGCACTCTCTGTTTTAAACGAAATTAAAAGCAAACCCTCAGAAGTTTTACAACAATTGAAGTACTGTAGTGACAAGTGCTCTATAAGTATCAGTATCATTTGACTTGATTTATTGACTTGTATGCTAAATTTTGAGTGTTTTCTGTGAATAGTAGGCTGTGTACCATCATAATATTACTTCCGACAAGGACAGTACAATAGATTCTTAGTCCAAATAATATTCCAAGATATGTGGGAAGTTATTGATAAAATTTGTATCATTTGTATCATAATCCATGTAAAATAATTTTTTTCTTTTCATTTTCACTGGTGATCAAGGTGATGCTTGAATACCTCTTTGCCTAATTTCAGGAGACACCCCCCCCCCTTTTTTTTCAGAAGAGTTTCAAAGATATCCCCCATAGAAATTCCAAGATATTGTGTCTTTGAGGCTGAACTGCTTTCTTGGGTTCATACTATTAAGCCATAGGGAAATTGATTTTTAACTTAGTTTTCTCTGAATATTTTTTCTTACCCAGTGAATCTTTTGAAGATATTTATGAAAATTAAATTATTGTCACAAATGTAGAAAGTTATTGGACAACACTAGACAGTGTGATAGATTCCTGAAAAGCTGCTATCAATGGAGGTCATTTTAATCTTAAGCATAGCTGAGCTTCTAAAATTATACATGACAATGCATTGGATTTTGTTGTTTTTTTTTTTTTACCTCGGTCACAAATCCTCTTTAATTACTGTAAACAAGTAGTTAATCAACATTCGGAAATTTTATATCCTCAAGCCCAGTGGTTCATCATTCAGGCAATAAGCTTTCACAAGGTTTGTTATTGTATGGCAACATTTGCTTTTGAAAGCCACTGCCAGTAGTGTGTTCCTAACTTCTGAAAATCAGGCAATTAAAAAAACTTAAGATACAGAATGATTCCAAATACTGAGATATCAGATACTGAATTTACGAGGGTTGTCCCGTAAAATCGTGGACAAAGCGTTTTTCTCGAAAAGTAATGGGCGCACTTAGCTGAAAATTTCAGTAAATGTTTATTTATCATATTTAAGTGCATGATATTTTTTTGATAAAATATAGGCAAAAATAAAGATTTTATTATGCTTGAATGTGCACGGGGTATTGTCATACTGCGCACGGACAAAAAAACCAAAGTTTTATTAAAAAATACACAAGTTTGAATTCAAAATAAAAGTTTTAAATACATAAGATTTGGATCAAAATTATCCTAATTCAATTCCACAATCAATTTTGTAGTCTTTGTAAAAATTTTAAGGCATTTGGTCAATTTTTGGCAGTTTCTCGAGCAATCGAAATGGGAAAGTGGTAAACATAACACACGAAAAATGGCAACGTTTTATGACGTTACGGCGCACCGGAGAGCAGTTCCGTTTTAATTCGATGTTGTAATGACACCTTTAGAGACTTGAAATGACCATAGAAGAAAAAAGATTATAAACATATCACCATATCTTAAGTATACAAATGAAATAAGAGTTTTCTTAGCGAAGTCTTTTTTGATTGAGTCCCTGGGGAGTATAAAACATACGGACAATCTCCTAATGTAATAGCAAAAGACGCTGTCACTGTAGACCGCCGATATGAGATTTTCTTTTAGTTGAATGATGGTGAGAATATTGTCCGTAACTTACTGATAAATCTTCAGAAGATCGCATAAGGGTGCCAATATTGGTTCTTCGACTGTTTATGGAGACTAAAGAATGTTTATCAATGAAATTCCTAAATTTAAGTCGGACTCATCTAACTTCATTTTCAGCAAAGATAAAACGTGACGCTGTTTTAGACACTTTGACGTTATAATCCATGCGCCGTAAGGTGATACAATACATGGCATAAAATCACATAATTTGTTTATTTATGCATATATTTATCTGAAATTTGCTGTGTATATTACTAAAATATGTACTAAATAATAGTGAAAATTTCAGAACGCAGTGAAGATTATTTTTTACACTATACAACTTGTCCACGATTTTACGGGACAACCCTCGTAAAGTACATAAAGATGGAGTAATTCAAATTCCATTACATCGACCCACCAATAGTATTTGTGATATTCACAGATGCTAGAGATAGCAAACAAGAACTACTGCACTATATTAAATTTTAAGAAGTACATTGTGCATATAGTTCTTTTCTTTTAGATGACAGTCAGACTATTCCATGGATGTTAAATGACCCTATAGATTACTTTCCAAATTGAAAAAAAATAACCAATGAGGTCCCAGGTTTAAGGTATCTGAGTGGCGATAAGTTGGTCATAATTTAAACTACATGTACTTCCTCTGTCAACAATTTGTCAAAATGCTACTCCTCCGGTAGTTTTGGTTTGATTTCAATATAATTTGGCATACATACATGTATGTAGACTACACTAAGATACAATAACCTAGTGGGTTTTGTTTTTTTGATTTTGTCGAATGATAGTGTTGCCAACATGATTACTAAAATTAGAAATTTCTGTGATATACCCAGGTATCTTTAAAATGCTATACTCTTCCTACATTTTTAGTCTCAATTCAAGGAGTAACTTTGCACACAAGTAGTCTATACACTATATTATTCAGTGCATTGGTTTTTGTATTCTCTTAAGAGAAGTGGACAGGCTTTGCCTACATCCACTTCTGCTTTGTAAAATCAGACAATATTTCAGACAAAATGTTAGTTTAGGTGTAGGCTGTCAATGGTTCTACATTTTACATGATTTCCAGAATAACAACATGAAGGTCTGTCAAGAGAAGTGGGTGTAGGAAAGCATGTTCACTTCTCTAAAGAGAGTATGGTTTTTGATTAGGGATGTCAACGAATATTCGAATATTCATTCGATGAGTTGATATTCGAATATAAATTCATGATTCGAATATTCGGATTTTAAGTATACAAGCATCAAAAAGGAAAAAAAAATGTGGCAAAAACTGAAGTTTTATCAGAAATTGAATCAAATTCTCATCGTTGACCATTAATGACCAATAATAATATTTTATTTAAAACAAAATTAAAATACACTCCTCTTGGATTACCTTAAAGGTGTGAAGAATGTGTCTATTAAAATGATATAAATTATTTATTTGATCATTTAATTAGAGATATAACAGTGTCCAGTACTTATAATTAGTTTGTATTGTTGAAAGGACACATTTTTGTTTATGCATACATCATTTAAAATCATTATCAGGAAATTATTTAGTAATTGCTTTTAATGTTTCTCCATTAGATAGTTGTTCTGTGTGGTATAAATCTGTAGGGTTATCAGTGTACACTCTGGTAAGATGATTAATTAATCTGGAACTTATTAAAAGAATCTTTTGAATTTTCGGAGGAAATTTTTTTTTAATTACATTTTGGATATAAACTCTTCATATATTCTGTAAAATATTTTAAGAATATAATTAAAATGCATTTACAAAACTCTACACGAAATTTTATTCCAAAATAATGACATAAAACGTATATATTGCTTTACAAAAGAGTGAAGATATATACATATTATAATGCAAGATGTATTTATTTTATCGAATATTCGAATATATTCGAATACTACTATCGAATATTCGAATATCAATTATTGACAATTTTGACATCCCTATTTTTGATTAAAGCTAGGGATCATAACTCTATTGTCGTTTCAAGGCCAACTGCTAAGTTTTGTCTTCCTTTTTTACAAGAAGAAACCAGTAGAGCTACAATCTTATCAAAGACTTTCTAAAAAGTTTTGTATTGATATTCTCATTATTAATGATGGTCTTCTAATATGTTAATATAGAAACAGTATGAAGAAAGAGTACAGCTCTTTGGGAAGATGGAGTTCCTTTCATTAGAAGAATACAAGGACATATATAAGAAGACCAAGATTGATATAGACGGTCGGCTAGAGCTCTACTCCTTTGGTCGTGCTGAGATGACAAAGATGTTTGACGAGTATGTCAAATTTAGTCAAGGAATTTTCAACTTCACTGCCCTGAGTGCAAAGGACAAGTCTGCTTTGCTGAAAGGTAAAAATGACTTGGGACTGAATTCAAATTAAACAAGAAATTTTACCAATTTTAACAATTAAATTTTATAATTAGGACTAAGGTCACCCGAGTAACTCAAGTGACCTATTGCTATTTGTTTTTGTCCGTCTGTGTGTGTCGTGCATCGTGCATTAACATTTGAACATTTTCTCCTTCTCTGAAACCACTAAACCAATTTCAACCAATTTTGGCATATCTCCATTCTTTGGTTAGTTAATACCCAGAGGTAGATCAGAGTAACAAAGAGAAAATACATTTCCACTTTATAAGCATGCATTTTCACTATACAATTTATCTCCTGCCCTGGCACTGGAACCCTTCATCCTGGAGCAATGAATTTCATTTTGGTAGAGGATTCAATGCTGATTACAATTAACAGTTTGACTGCTTGATGTCTAGGAGTAGAGAATATTTTTAAAGATTGCAATTGATTTTAGTGGTTTTGGCCCCATCCCTGAATGCCCCCCCCCCCCCCCTGGAAATGAAATTACCATGAAATTAACATTTTTTGTTTCCCTTCACGTGTAGTTGAGTTTACTCAGGTGACCTAAAAATGGTGCATATGCCTTCAACAAGCTTCCTATCTTTTAGATTTTTTTGTTTTGTTTTCTAATATGATGCTCAATGTTATTTATGTTGTAAATAAAAAAATTGAAGTAGATTTGTGGATTTTAAAAACTTGTTAGGAAATAACCTATTTGTCCCCTCTGGTTCAAAAGTATTTTTATTTACAGCTTCAAATTTTGACTTTGGAATGATTCTGGACTATCGTGCTGTTGATGTAGACAAAGAAATGTATCTGACTTACACAGGAAAAATTATGCCTATGAATGAGGGATGTCCACACATGTCAGGAGACACTATCAAAAGATGGGCTGAGTTCTGCAGAAGCGTCGAAAAACTCACTTTAACTCCCCAGGAGCATGCGCTAACACTTGGCATCTGCCTAACATTTCAAGGTAAACAGATTTAAATTTTTTAACTATCACTATATATTCTGAGTATTTTGATTAAAAAAATAATTAAACATGCATATAATGAAAATATGCTTGGGAATAGAAGCTTTTAAGGTCAGACGACACGTTCCTAAAAAATATATAATTTTTCCTAAGAATTTGTCACTGAATAGGTACTTAAACAAGTTTCCTCACAAAAAATTAGGGTACCTTACCAGGCATTTGGCCAAGATACCATAGGGTTATATTTCTTATATAACCCTTATGGGTAATCTTAATGGCCTACATGTATAACACAATTTTTGGTGTACTTATATTTAAAAACATTTTGAAAACAATGTAGAAATCAGAAGAGAATGACAAATATGAAAAAAAAATTATATAGTACAAAGAGATACAAAACATATTTTGAGGAACGTGTCGTCTGACCTTAAGATGTAAATGAATGCATTATATCCGTAAAGTTAACAATACAGTTTAAAGGCAGTGTGAATAAAAAAAACCACTTCTCTAATAGGATCAGTTCATTATATTAAGTGCTTTCTATAATCTTTTCACCGTATATATTTATATATATAATATATATACAGTGTATATTTAATTTTTAATTTGTTTCTGTACTTCTCTGAAAACAGACAGATGTCCCCTTGAATCTCCTCAGAGGGTGGAGGAAATTCAACACAAACTGATAAATGTTTTGGAGTTATTACTGAACGAGACCCACAAGGAGGAGAGCGGTATACGACTGGCAAAAATCATGGACTTGTTTGTGCGCCTGCGTGATATGCACAAAGAATACTACGACATGTTAGAAGAGATGTGTAAAGATGACATTCTGACCGAATGTATCCCGGAGATTTATCTTTATGTCTGAGATATTGACCTAGCATCACTTCCTTTGTTATTGTTAGTATCAGTGTTTTAAAACATTGCAGTGCATTGTAGATTTTTTTCGTACTGAAATTGGAGTAAATATTTTTGTACTTTTGTTCACAGTTGACATTAAGATATCCATTCATATAATTAGTGCGTTTGTGTAATATATTCTTGTATTGACTTTATTGTGATCATTCAACTAAAAAGTTTTTAACATGTGTTAAAGAACTTGTGAGTTAAATAATAATGTGCATCTCAGCTTGCAAAATAAAATGTGTTGACTTTGTTGATCCCTTTATATTTATTCCATTTCTATTTGTTTTCTCTGTGATAACACTTTGAAAGTTAGTTGAGTTATTTCTTGATCATTCAGACGATTCTACCGGAATGTAACTTTCGCCAAGGGATATAAGGACAGGAGCTAAGGAGGCCTAATATGCATGTCAATCTCGTGCAGCTGCATGTGTTTGACGTCAGTGGGCGATGACTACCGGCATTGAAATTCACATGGGAGGCCTTGTGTAATTTAAATCTTTTAGTCTACATATTGGTCTATAAATTTTAAGAGTCTGCCCTAAAGTCGCGATGTAGGGAGTTGATCCTTACGTCGCGGGTTCGAATCCCAATGTGGGACGTGGAGACCCGTCATTTGGATGAGACCGTAAAAAACCTAAGTCCTGTGTCGCAGTAGGTGCTGGCACGAAAAAGATCCCTCCCTGCTCAATGTCCGTAAGTGCCGAGCATAGGACAAAATTTGCAGCTCTCCACCGGCAAGTGGTGGCGTGTCCATATGAGTGAAAAATTTCCGAGAGGAACGTTAAACATCAATCAATCAATGGAATCCCAGTGTGGGACGTGGAGACCGGTCCTTTGGATGAGACCGTATAAACCGAGGTCCCTTGTCGCAGTAGGCACGAAAAGATCCCTCCCTGCTCAATGGCCGTAAGTGCCGAGCATAGGACAAAATTTGCAGCTCTCCACCTGCATGTGGTGGCGTCTATGAATGAATAATTCTCGAGTGGGACGTTGAACAACACACAATCAATCAATCTACCACATACACTGTAGTTGAGCTCAACAACTTCATTTGTTAAAAGGGAAGATGCCGAACAGTGATGGAACTTATATCCAGTAAATATACGCCACGCGGATGACCGTGACAGAATTATTGTCCACAAAAATTAATTTTAACTCCGAATTATTGATGTGTTTATCTTATTTTTTACTATACTTTACAAAGATTTGCTAGAGGATTGAATGCATGCATCAATTCTTTTATAAAGAGCGTCAGTTCAATAAAATAGATGGTTACTAAAAATAGAATATTCTGTGAAATTCCTTTTAAAACGCTTCTCCTCCTATAGATTTGGTCTGATTTCAATATTACTTGGCATGCAAGTAGATTACACTAAGATACATAATATAATGCATAGGTTTTTGATTTCGTTGAACGGTGTGGCCAAGGTTTCTAAAAATAGAAGTTTATTTGAAATTCCTTTAAAACGCTACTCCTCTTACAGCTGTGGTCTGATTTCAATATAACTTGGCATACAAGTAGACTACACTAAGATACATAATTTAGCGCATCGGCTTTTGATTTCGATGAACAGCGTTGTCATGGTTTCTAAAAATAGAAGTTTATTTGAAATTTCTTTAAAACTGATTTCAATATACTGGCACACCTCCAAAAGTTGTTTTGATTTCTGATGTTCAATAAACCTAGAAATTTCTGTGAAATTCCTTTAAAACATTACTATTCCTACAGTTTTGATCTTTTTTCAATTTAATTAGGCACACAAGTTGCCCTAAAAAGAGACTTATTCAAGGATCATTATTATATTTATTGCTGTTGAAAAGTTTCATGTCCAAATGTTATAAGCTACTTTCTTTCTTTGTTATAAGTACAAATCAGTAGAGCTACAGTCTCGACAGAGACTTTTGGTTTATTTCACCTTGAAAGAACCTCACCAGTAACTGATAAATTTTGGCGAGAAACCTGTTTTTCGTATAGAAAAAACTTTACAATCTGACTGAAATTAATGTCATGACAACTTTTGGACGTAATACTTTTGCTTAACCATTGCCGTTTTTGTGTTTATCTGACCTCTTCGTGTGTGCTTTCCATGGTTTCTTTTCACTCCCATGTTTAATTGTCTATAAATTTGTATAACTGATCTAGGCATCTCAAACATGATGTCAAGCAGTGTTGATACATACTTCTCTTTCCAGCATCAGGTAATCTGAGTGTAGACACTTGGCTAGTGAACAAAAGCCCTGTAAGCCATCATTACAGTGCTTGTCCAAATAAGAATAATGGTCATTTACGTAAGCGCTTAACATTGTCATTTACGGCTTGCCGAAATGCTGTACCGTTCCATCACTTTGTGGATGGTACTTGTTGGATCGTGTTTTCTTTATATGAAAAACCTGGCACATCTCTTCAAAGAACAAACATTCTGTCGACCTTGAGAGTAAATTACTAATGGCACGCCGAACCTGGCAATCTTTCTTCAACAATAAGTCTTGCCACTGTCTTGGTATCCATATTCGGCACAGGGAAAGCTTCGGTCCATTTCGTAAAGTAGCCTAAACAACCAATATATATTTGTCGCAATCTCCTTCGTTGGAAGTTCTCTTAATATGTCTGTGGCAATCTGTCCATTGGTAAACCACTTTCAACTATATGTAATTCTATGGGTAATCTTCATTGTTCACAACTTCAAGTGCTATGTACATTCTGGTACACTGTGGTATCAGCTTGCAAAGCTAGCCAAAAGACCTCTTGCCTCATTCGAGCTTATTCCTTACTCACGCTAAGACTCTACAGCAGTTGTCTTAACATAAAATCATAACAGAACTTGAATATTGTCCGTCGTTGGCTACTTGGTACAAAAGCCTACAAGCGTTTGGCCTTCTTATTCTCCTCTACAAATCATCTATATATAGAAATATTATACTTTCAAGTAAATTAGTTGAATCTGATTGATCGAGAAACATTTGCTAAAAAACACTATTACCCGCTGAATAATGAAGCCACGCCCTCCAGCATAGCAACAGTCAACATTGCTTGACGACTGGTGGTATTCCAAAAAATAGCGACTGCGCAGAATTTATGCGCGCACGGTTCACTGTTATATGTATTTGTATAAAACATTCAATATAATATAATAAATATACAATGTATTTTATGAGTGTAACATTAGAAATGAAAATTTTCATCTTTTTCCCAGTTAGGATAAAAAATCACAGTAACGACATGGCACACGCCTCGGTTGACAATAAAGTTTTACAATTGGTGAAAATTTTTAATGTTACACTCAACTACATGCAATATTTATATAATAGCATTCTCTATAAAAAGTTTGGTCAACTGGGACGACAAAGAACGTACTACATATCCTTGACGACAGATCTCCTTGTTCTCGGGTCTTTTCTTTGTCTTTATCTTGCATGTCTTTCATCTATAACATTGGATCGACATAATCTTTCTTTGACCCACTGGCTTGAGCTATTGCTATCATTCAGCTTGTTTATTTTCAGATCTTTTTCCCAGTTGAATAAAAAATCACAGTAACTACATGGCACACGACTCAGTGCATGTACATGTATATTATGTGCATCTGCATTAGATTCCTGGTCAATGTTGTATGTCGAAATTATACGCACTAAAGATTTCCAACCAACATGCCAACTGTCCCTCTGAATTCTTAAATTTAAAAAGTCACATTAAGGAGCTATGGTCTGTGTGGACTGCAAAATTCTTACCATGGAGGTAATGCTTAAAATGTAGACATTTGTAGGCACTGGCAACTGTTTGACTGCAGCTCTTTTGTTTGGGTCAGTCGCTACATCTTCCACTGATACTGCATGCCCAAGGTAAGTCACCTTCTTGGCAAATAAGCAGCATTTCTTGGCTTTGAGTTTAAGACCTGCATTTTTCAGTCTGTCAAATACCGAGTACTTTTCTAAGGTTTACCAACATTTCCTCAAATGTCCTGCCTGTCACTAGCACGTCATCTAGGTAAACTAGACAATATTTCAGTTAAGACACTCGATTAGGCGCCTAAATGTTGCAGGAGCACAACATAAGCCAAATTGCATGACCTTAAACTGGAATAGTCCAATAGTAGCAATTAAACTCTGTCTTGTGTTTGTCGTCTGGCTTCATCTCTACCTGCTAATATCTTAAACAAAGATCTAGAGTAGAGAACCACGAACTGATCCAGTGACTTGTCTATTTTTGGAAGGGGTATGCATCTTTGATTGTACAGCTATATTTAATTACAGTAATCAATGCAAAATCTGAATTTCCGTATTTCTTTTTTGCTAACACAATAGGCGCTGACCATGGGCTGTTCGATCACACCTCATTCAAGCATCTCATTCAGCTGTTTATCAACCTCTGTAAAATAAGATTGTACTCTCCTTGGAGTTATTTTAATTGGGCGGTGGGTCCTAGTATTAATACAACTTATGTTTACAATGCTAAATCTTTTTCAGACTTTGCAAATAGATTGGTGTATTCAATAATTGATGAGCTTTCATTTTCTGCTTTCATGTCATGTGTGAAGATTCCTTGACCATAACATCCAAATCTTGTTTGTTAGATTTGTTCCACATATCCTCTTCTTGTGACTTAACCACTCTGATTTCACTGAGCTGTCCAGTTACCGTACTTGGGTAAACCTCTTTGGCTTCCTCACCAACATTAAGCAAATTGGTACCATCTCTTGAGATAAAACCATTTGTTATGTAGCCCGTTATGCATAAATTATCCCATGTTTTCCACTATCGTTGATGTCCCTGGCATACTATACTACTAGTACCTGGTATCTCCTTTATTTAACTGAAAAGAGTATGAATTGATTCAGTTATTGCGTGCATTAATGGAATTATTACTCTCCAGTGGTAAATTGTGTGCCTCAACTCATTCAAATATGGCTTCCTTGCATTAGTTCATTATCTTTATTTCTACTACATGTGTATCAACAATTGTATTTATTGTATTTTAGAATTATTCACATAAAGTTAAAACTTAAGCATAGTTTACAAATCGTGAAACTGTATTTATCAGATAATCTATGTTTTGCGATCGCAAATGATTGTTTTTGGTGTTAAGTATAGTTTACGGTTCTGAAACATAGATTATCGCGTTAACTATGGTTTACAAATGTAAAATATAGATTAACGTTGTTAACTATAGTTAACAGTCTGTAAACTATAGTTTACAACCGATAAACTTAGTTTATCGACTGTGAAACTCTGATTAGCTCATTTTTGTGAATTTAAAATTGGTGTGCTAATCATAGTTTCACAATTGATAAACTAGTTTTATCGACTGTAAACTATAGTTTACAAACCGTGAACAATAGTTTACAATTCGCTAAGTATAGTTTTTATCTGTAAAACTATATTTAACGGTTGTTAACTATAGTTTACGAATGATAATCTAAGTTTATCTGTCTGTAATAAAACATTAACAATAGATTTTGTTGATAAACATAGATTCACGTCTGTAAACTATAATTTACGATCGTTAACTATATAGTTAAGAGTTGTAAAGCATAGTTTACAATCTTGAAACTGTATTTATCAGATAATCTATGTTTTGCAATCGCAAATGATTGTTTTCGGTGTTAAGTATAGTTTACGATTGTGAAACATCTAGATTATCGCGTTAACTATAGTTTACAGATGTAAAATATAGATTAACGTCGTTAACTATAGTTTACAGTCCGTAAACTATAGTTTACAACCGATAAACCTAGTTTATCGACTGTGAAACTATGTTTTGCTCATTTTTGTGACTTTGGCGTGCCATAAGAATCACCTCCATCAATACATTTTCGTAATTTTTCCACTCAAATTAATTATTAGTCAAAGAAAATATTTATTGATTTAATGTGAATTAATTAAAACCTTAAATCAGTGGACAGCATAATACAAGAAAATACTTAGATAGCCTTTTTAATTATATAAATAATGATAAACAAGAATAGATATGGGTTACCCCATATCCAAAGATATTCGACTGTTAGATTTAATATGTTTAACAGTGTTTATAATGACGTTAATAAAAAAAAAACTGCACTGTCTAATTATGGAACTGTTGTAAATATCGTGATTCCATAGCATTACGGTCACCTAGTCTCCTAACAAACAGTACACATAGGCCTACATGTACCTGTAGCCTTGGTCTACACACGTGCAATGGAGCTGTCACACGCATCCAGCGAGCTCGGAGAAACACGTTTTGTTTTGCCGAGAAGTTACGGTGTCAGACAAAACTTTTCTTTTCTTAATTAGATCATATAAATACGAATTCTGATTAATAAAAATTATACAATCCCTGTTGAACTTTATATAGTTTGTTCTAACATTTGCATCTGCAACAACTTGTGTTTAAAATGGCCGGGTTGGGAAAATCAGGACCAGGTCGGAAAATTCTAAACTGAAAACATGGAAAACCTTTTTTGTTTTGAAAATAACTGAAATATACTAATATATTTGTCGCAGAAATTACTTACATTATTCAAGTTCTATATATAATGGTATGCTGAACTTCAACACGAACCCGAATCTCCAACCCATGCAGTTCTCGTTTTGCCACACATACCCTTCAGTTTACAAAGTGTACACACGAGCAGGCCAGGGATTGAAAATTCCGTCATTTAATAATACACACACAGAATGATTAATTTTTTCTTTAAGAACAAATTGTATGATAATTAACGGACTATAAACATGTACTTAATACAATTGTTGATATAGTATTATCAATTCATTGGTGAAAAGATATGAATCGAAGAATGACCTAATTATTCTCTGTTATCAAACACGTAAAAAAAAAAAAGGCTGAGGAGGGAGCGAGCGTAGGAATATTGATATTTTTTATTTGCATTTCGGGGGGAAAGTGACTTTCTAATGATATTTTGACGTTATTTTTGATTTCTTTAACGTATGACATACACAACTTTACTCTTATCATGAACAATAATGTTGTATCTACTTATCATGATGGAATTATTTTGGTCGGACCAATATGTGTGAGCTGCCGCTGAATACAGTTATATATCTTGCAAAGATAGTATGCATTGATCGAATATATAGAAAAAATAAAATATTCGAAACAACGGTCTGATCGGTAATTAGTCTAACCATGTCGTTAATAACTCGTACCAGTATTTGTCGTTCGTGTTAACCTGAATTACCTGTGATGTTTACATTTTTGAGAGTCAAAAAAAGGGCGTGCTTCCTCGGTGAATTTAGAGAGTACCTTGACATAATTATGTAATTAAACTGGGTAAGTAACATTACATAGTACTTTACTTGACTTCGTGTCCTCGTGAAAAACTTGATTTCACTCAACGGTATTTTGAACAAGGAATTTCGAAATTGAGAATTATTTCAATACCTTTACCATGTTTACTGAAGAAAAATAAAACAGTATGGGCCTAATTACTAGTTATCCCAATCATCAATATCATTTTTAAAAAAAAAAAATGTACAATCTATTAGTTTATTCCAATCCTTGATTGTCTTGTACTGTAATGTATCCTAGTTTTCGTATTTACTCTAAGATTTAGTTAACTTTCAAAAAGGTGATATGGGTTTGGACTACTGCATTTATAGTCTATTATTTTATACTATATATACAAACACATGAGTTATCAATTTATCAGTAATGAAAAACAGATTAAATCCTACGGAGCTGCGCTTTCAATACTACTATTATACTAACTGGTAGGATTCATGTCTATTTCTAATTTACTTTCAATTTTACTTTATTGATTAAATTTGCCGACTCCTGTGATAAAGGAAGACGTCGTTCTCATTCTTAACCCCTGTGTACTGTAGGTGACCTCAGCTCCGGTGGATTTCCGTACTATTCGGACATTCCTTGACCGTGATCAAATGGTGATCTATTAAAAAAAAATTCAAAAGTTTATATCTTATTTGAATGTAAATAATTTTCAAAGGAAAAGAAATGAAAGTGAAACCCAAAAGGGCGCATGGTAGTTTACAACACAATCTCTGGTCTCGCTATAAAAAATTTTATAACCAAAGCGAGTAAAATGGCATAGAGGAAATAGAGTTCTATTTATCGACCTGACCTAGTTATAGGACTTTTAAAGGACCTATATATTTCTAGTTATTGGACTAATGATGGAAAGGGGGATCGATGAATTAAATCATGGGTTGTGATTATTTTTCAACATGCTTATAGGAATATTATTGAAGCTCCGATTGAAGGTTTGATGTAAGTTTGTACATAATTATTTGTAATATTTTATTTTCGTATTCTTTCGATTTAATGCACTAAGTCTATCAAGTTTTTTTTCTCGATACATTTAAAATTGAATTCAAATTTCGAAACTTTAAGTGAACCCATGTACCTATACCTATACAAGTGGAACATTATCCTTGCATTTGTTTTGCTTTATATCTGGATTTGTTTGTTGGAAAATATTTGCTCATTAAAAGTATTACTCACTCAGATAAAATCGAATTAAAAAAGTAAAACTTTTGATTGAAAGTCACCAAACTGAACTAACAGCAATGGCTAAGATATACACACGTTTCATCCCATATTCATCTGGGAAGACCACAACTTTTTTAAATATTAATTTAAAAAAAAATGGGCCACAAAGATATTTGTTAAACTTGTAATACTGCGACCACACTAATCATAAGATTTTGAAATCTACACTAAGGCTTCCATGTGCACTTTTTTCTGGCCCAGTGGTTCTTAAGAAGAAGATAGATTTTTATATATTTCTATGTTTTATTCATTGAATTGGATCTACACTAGCAGGCATAAAGGCCCTCAAGAGGAGAAGATTTTCTCTCCATACATCATAATGATGAATCTACACAACCCCATTATGTAGCATTTCTGGCCCAAGATTTTCAAAGGTGCCATGAAAATATCAGTTTGTTTTGGTTTTCTTTGGGTGGAAATTTTTCAATTTATGTTATCCAAAACTACATGTACACATTGTATCTGTTTTTCTTTTTTTTTTTGTACATTATAGTGAAATATTTACAACCAAAAAGAGTTCTTGAGAAGTTTACGGACAGCTAGACGGACGGACGACGACGGACAAGATGTGATCAGAAAAGCTCACTTGAGCCTTCGGCTCAGGTGAGCTAAAAATAAAAGATATTTGTTAAACATTCAAAAACAAGAGATTCAAGGAACTTTTTTCTGGGCACATCATAAAGATAGTTTAAAATATATGTTTTATTCATATATATTGAACAGCAGGCATAAATGTAATACATCATAAAGAAATTGTTAAATAAATACTCCTCAGTTTGTTTTGGTTTTTTGGGGGGAGGAAATTTTCAATTTATGTAATCCAAAACTACATGTTTTTTTGTACATTATAGTGAAATATTTACAACCAAAAAGAGTTGATAAGCTGTACAGAACCTGGTATCGAGACCATAGACAACTGTATACTATATATTTCTCTGCAAGTAATAAATTGTTAAAAAATCACCCGCAATGTACCCGTATTCGAGTGTGTCGTTTCTTTTGTCACGGTTTAATATCTTTAATTTGAAAAAGTCTCATAAAGCTCTCCCTTAACTTACTTCTAGACAGCGGTTTGCATTGAAATAAATTGAAATTATGTTCTTCTCAAATAATCATGATTAGGCAAACGATAATTGAAAAACAAAAATCTGTAAAAATAATCACGATTAGTGATGCCCCGTTTGAAAAATAAATTCCTGGCTTCGAAATTAAGTAAGAAACTATGAAACTATGCTTAATATTAAACTGTACGAAGATATTATCGGGTTATTGAACTTATCTTGGTGAATATTGGCACGAGATTGCTGTACACATGCACGAGCTTGTGAGTGCACGTGCATGTGTACAGCCAACGAGTGACAATATTCACCAATATAAGAAAAAAAACTCCTTTATTACATGGCTAAAACATCTCACATTAACTCAATCTAAAAAAGTTAATAACCGCTATAGCATCATTGCCAATCTCCCATGCAGAGCTGTCGTTCGTTCCTCTCTGTCTCAGATGAGCCGATGGTAGAGAGTGCATCATTAACCCTGTAGCGCTATGATTTGCTTATTGAGGTTTTATAGTGGCTGATTTGAACTAACTAATTAATAAATAATTTCACCTTTGGGTGAAAAAACACATATTACCTACCTGTCGTTAATTTCCATGAATTTGCCTTTGAGAGTTGAACAGACGACATTTTGTGTTTACAACGGGGCGTTCGGTATTGAACGCTCGTATGCGGAATGTTTCGGGCAAACTCATTTACGTTTTGCAAACTCAACGTTCAATAAAACCCCAAGATATTGAAATAAACGCTAAAATTCTGTAGACTTTTGTAGTTTTTGTTATTATAGCCTTTTTTTAGCCATGTAATTATAAAATATATAAATCTTTCTTTTTAAAAAATTATTTTAAGGAAAAAAGTTCTACAACTTTAATCACTTGATAATGATTTTACATTATATAGTCTCACACCTCTGCCTGCTGAATGGTGATGTATGCATATAATGGAAACAACGAATACTGAAAAACCTCCCACAAGCATCGAAACCCAAGAGGGAACTAAAAAGAAGGGTCGGAAGAGGGAAAAATATATTCCGTCTTCTGAACCACTAGAGCTACCGTTCTGTCGCATCTGTGGTAAGAGAGCGTCGGGGATTCACTTTGGAGTATACAGTTGTGAGGCGTGCAAGGTATGAACAAGTTATTTTTTGCAATTCTATATTTTGTACAATTGAAACATATTAACTATCTTGCAACTTTGGAAAATGCATGTCAGTTTGTTAGATTAACTAGCTGTGAATTATAGAAATTTTATACTGACATCCCGGCCTTCTTTTGTCTTAAACTTGTGACCTTTTTTGGCATGGCTTTGTTAACGTTTCAGGATCGCTGTGTAATATCAGGTTTTTGTTTGTTTGTTTAATTTCCCTTCGAAAATAATTATTTCACTCATATTGAGACGCCACCACTTGCCAGAGGGGATTCAAATTTAGACCCGTGCTTGGTACTTTAATAGGTCTTAGAGCGTTTAGCACCTTCCAGCGGTACTTGATCTCGCACTACACGGTCTCGTTGGAATTTAAGAACCGGTTTCCATGTACCAAAGTGGGATTCGAACTAGTTACGTAAGCATCATCTTTACTCCGCTACTCAAGCGCAAAAGCTCTAACCATTGCGCCATGCATATGTGGCGACGTTCTGATAGACTAAGTGATCAGTGCCTCTCTGTGGAGGTCCTGTGACATGCTTCCTCGTTCCAACTGAAATTGATTGCGCATGCTCCTTCTCAGGGCTTCATGTCACGTATTCGTGACATACTCAATGTGTTGACTTCGTGTAAAAGACGTTTTTCACATCTCAAAGGACACCAAGAGTCTGTGCAAGAGCTGCCATCAGCTCTTAAGGAATACCGGTAATTGAACCTTTTTGTCCCCCGCTTGAAAAGTGGGGGATATTAATTTGGGTTTGTCCGTCCGTCCGTCCGTCCGTCTTTCTGTCTGTCTGTAACGCTTTCGTTTCCACACGATATCTCGAGAACCCTTTGAGCTTTTGCAATGAAATTTAGCATAGCAACTCCCTATGGACTAAAGAAGACCCCTATTGATTTTGAAGTCAAAAGGTCAAAGGTCAAGGTCATAAATAAGCAAATTCTGTCTGTTAAAACACTTTCGTTTCCACACGATATCTCTAGAACCATTTGAGCTATTGCAATGAAATTTTATATAACAACTCTCTGTGGCCTAATGAAGACCCCTATTGATTTTGAGGTCAAAAGGTCAAAGTTCAAGGTCGTAAATTTATACATTCTCTCTGTGTGTAATACTATTATTTCCGGGCGATATTTCAAGAAGATTTTGAGCTTATGCAATGTAATTTATATCAAAACTCCCTAGGACGTCTCTCGCCCCTCTCAAAGTGCCCCGCCCCGTTTGTTTTATTAGTATTTTTAGTATTAATTACATGTCGCTATTTTTAGCGCAGGGGCATGAGGAGAGTTATTGCGTATAAAACAGGTTCGCGGACTTTATGTTCTTATTACATCTATTAGAACTGTTTAATAAAGGCTAAATAAATCAAACACCATGGATTGTGTAAAATTTTGTGTGAGAACATGAATATATACATGTATGTGACTTCACTTCTGCATATACTTCGCACCTTGTATAGCGATTCCGTGGTCTCGTGGATATGTCTCTCGCTTCAAGTGTTAGAGGTCCCGGGATCGAATCTCGGTCAAACCTTTAATTTTTTTTTTTTTAAAATACTTTTTTTTTTTTACTAAATGATAGTATCCAGCATGTGAAATGAAAAATTTATGAGGTTATAAAATCATCATTACAGTGTGATAAAAATTCCATATAAAAAATCTTCTATACACATAATGAAGAATAAGCAATCAAATCTTTATATGCATATTGACATACATGTATTTTATTTGCTTCAGTATACATGTATACATTTAATAATTCTACAAATTCAGTCAGGGGGAGTCGACTTTTTCCCTAAGCGGGGGACACGAATTCTCTGAATTAGCTTGTTTCTTTAAAGATGAAACAAGAGAAACTCAGACTGTTTTGTAACAGTGCTCGCTATCTGGAACTTTTGAAGAAGAAATGTTTGCTATGATTAGGTAGAAGGGGTTTTAATCCTAAGGACATGTGGTTCCAAGAAGACGGAGCTACGCCTCACACAACTCAAAATGTAACTGACTGGCTACACGAAACATTCAATGGAAATTTTATCTCTTTCAAAATTGAACACATCTGGCCTCCTCATTCCCCAGATCTAAGCCCTCTGGATTTCATTTTGTGGGGATACCCCAACTGAAAGACAATGTGTACAAATCAGAGCTTGGATCCTTCGCAAATTTAAAATGTGAAATTCGGAGAGAAATCCAGAAGATGACCAACGAGACATGTGCTGCTGTCATAAGGAATTTTATGCAACGTCTCAACATAACTTCCCAGAAAGTACGTCATTTGGAGCACATCATGTAAAAGCTGTATCAAAGTTTAAAGCGACCTATTTTTTTCTTTTTAATGTCTATAAAATTATGTAGTCGCCTGCGTGGTGCAATGATTAGAGCGTCTGCTCTAGTGTCGCGAAGGAGTTGATCCTTACGTCGCGGGTTCGAATCCAGTTGTTGGACGTAGTGACTGGTCCTTCGGATGAGACCGTATAAACCGAGGTCCCGTGTCACAGTAGATGCTGACACGAAAAAGACCCCAATGACCTCAATGGCCGTATGTGCTGAGTATAGGAAAAAATTTGCAGCTCTCCACCGGCAAGTGCTATCGTCTCCACATGAGTAAAAAAATTCTCGAGATGGACGTTAAACATCACACAATCAATCAATCAATTAAATTATATAAAAAAAGGACAATATACATCATGATAACAATGTACATGTATTTGTTTTTATTCAATATTCGTGAAAGTGTGTTTTATTCAAACAAGAAATGGTATCATATATTCTGGGACACCCTGTATATAAGGACAATTTCAATGGCTATTTTCAGGCATTCTTTCGGCGATGTCTTCAGCGAACTACTCCATATAAATGTGACAAAGGGGGAGACTGTGTAATAGACGAACAACAGAAAGGCCTCAACTGCTCAGCATGTCGCCTCAAAAAGTGTCTGGATCTTGGCATGTCAAAAGAGGGTAGGAGATTTTAAATACTTTCACTACTGAGATTAAAAGCATCATTGCGTGTTGCTTCAGGGATGCTCACTCTTTCACTGCACCTGATCCCACTGATATTTTGGATGTCCGTGATTGCTCTACTTCTCTTTTGTATTGTTTAAAGGATTTTTGAGCTTAAATACTGTTCGTTATCTCCATATACTTCATACTTCAATATTTTAAAAGCACTAGAATTTATGCTAAAAACAATTCATTTAACTTTTAAATATCTAGGTATTCGTCAAGGACGTTATACAGTGGCAGAAAGAACAAACGTCATAATGGAAGTGAAGAAACTGCAGGAAAATGGTGTTTTACAGCATAAAAACAGGCAGAACAATTTATCTTCAGTTTCAAGTAACAGACATCCGGTTCTCTCGGAACACACATATGCTTCAGATTCTTCCCTTCACTTTTCTCCGGATGTTGCCCGAAGTGATGAGGTTTTTACTCCGCCAAATTGCTCTTCCTCGATCCCGCCAGGTTCCAGCCCATCCCCCTCTTGTTCGTCCATTTATTCAAACTGTTCTGTCGTTGTTGATGGTACTGCTTGTGTTATTGATTTTACCGAGGAGGTAAGCAGGCATGCCATCACACAGACCCCAATCGAACAAACGTTGTTTTGTGGATCGGCGCCCGTATCTGGTCAGCAGGAGGCAAAGCGGATCATGGAAAATATCATGGTTGGATACGGCGCACTTAAACCATTTGAGACGACGCTGAATGATCAGGAACTGGAAGAATTGTTCGAAGAAGGATATGTAAGTTGTTATTTTTCATATGGAAAACATTTTTCGTATATACCGGGTATATTTTTTTAAATGCAATATAAAAAATCTATATATCTATCATAAATTCTTAACATATTTTAATATAATTCTGGACAAAGAATGAGAAGAAATATTCAATACGTAACACAAAGTACCAGATAGTAATTCATCTTTGATTAAAATTTAAACATAATTTTATCCACCCTTTCTAGAGTTTTGGGAACTATTCTTTTTGAGAAATTAAGAACTCTTTTCCGAGAGGAGTTTAAGACTAAGGCCTTGGATATCCCGTTTGTTTAAAAGTTACGCATAATCTTTTTAAACTGTAGAAAAAATATAAAGAGAAGACTCGACTTTTTGGAGACATGAATTTCTTGCCAGCGGATGAATACACCGAGATCTACGAGAAAACAAATATGGACGTTGATGGGCGGCTGAAAATACTCCAAGATGGCCGCCGTGATATGGTCCGGATTGTCAGGGAATATGTACAGTTTACGCAAGGAGTTCCGGACTTCCGGGCTTTATCTCCAAAAGACCAGGCCACGCTTTTAAAAGGTACTCTTGTAGAATGTTTTAAATAAATGTATTAGTTACTCCCCCCCCCCCCCAAATCGATTTACATATTTTAGGCATTCAGTGGGTCTTTATTTGAATTTAAGACTAAATACATGCAGTTCTTTTGTGTTAATTCCTAAAACGAAACAAGCAAGAGCTACAATTGTCAGTTTAATGCAAAATAATACAGATGCCTATTATCATATATGTTTTCATATAGTGATCTTACTCTTGAACTTTATTTTTTAGCTTCCCGTTTTGAGTTTTTCGTCATTCTGCAGTACCGGTCTATTGATTTTGAGCGGGAAATTATAGTAACATACACTGGACAGGCCCGCCATTTTAGTGAAATCTGTGTTTATACGCCAATAGAGGTCTTCAGGAATTGGTTCGAATTCATGAAAAAAGTGAAAGAATTAAACTTTACCCCCGAGGAGCATGCGCTGGTTCTCGCTATATCTTTAACATTCCGAGGTGAATATTTTGAATGAAAAGAAAACATTAATTTGTAGGCATTTTTTGGCATATTTTTCTTGATAAACTTAATTATTTTGATTTGAAACTAGGTTCCTGGGGCAATATTGCATTAACCTTATATCTATAAGTATTAGATTCCCGAGATTTGTAAAATGACATAACGAAATTATTTATTTTTGCACCAACTATGTTGTACTTGAGCGTGAACATAGAAATCTTTTTCTTTCACCACAGACCGATGTTCTCTAGAAGAACCTGACAAAGTAGAGAAAATTCAGACTACGTTGATAGAGACTCTCGGAAATCTATTGGAGGAAACCCATGGAAATTCCGGAGGCAGGCGCCTTGCCAAAATAATGGACTTGTTTATCCGTCTTAGGGCTCTAGGAGAAGAGTACCTCCAGCTGTATAAAAACTTGTGTAAAGACAAATTCCTGATAAAGGTTATTCCGGAAATGCTTCAGTTTTTGTTTGATGAATAGTGCTAAGAAGTTGCACTGTTTGATATACTTTTATTTACGATGTAGCATATTTGAACGTTCTTAATTTGTACGTACACAGTTGATAAATAAGTAAACCATTCCATACCATTTACATGTTTTTTTTTAATCATTATTCAATACTTAACATGATATAATAATATGAGAAAAAGAAAAGATAGCCGTGAGTATCATATGCTCCACGAAAGCTGCATGTAGATATTCAGTGCATGTAAACTAGTATCTGAACGATAGTATTCGATGAGAGGCAAATGAAAAAGACCTGTCAGGATATTTTCTATGATGTTTTTTTTTTTTAAATTTCATGAACCTATTTCACATGTTTTTCTTTTGATTTTAAAACTTCATCAGGCCTTTTAAATATTTTAAGGTCAGACGACACCTTCCTAAAAAATATATAATTTTTCCTAAGAATTTTTCAATGAAGTATAGATACTAAAAGAAGTTTCCTTTCAAAAAATTAAGGTACCTTACAAGGCATTTGGACAAGATACCACAGGGTCATATTTCTTAAATAACCCTTATGCGTAATCTTCTGAATGACCTATATCACATTTTTTGGTTTACTTATATCTAAAAACATTTTGAAAACAATGTAGATATCAGAAGAGAATGACAAATATGAATAATTTCATAAATATGCATCTGTATGCAAATCTTTAATGACATATTTTCCGTTTCTATTCCGGAATTTTATAGACCTTTATCTTTTTTTCTGTATTAAAACAGACCCACAACTTTTTGTCGTTATGGAGGTGAAGAGCAAAAGCGTCTTTTGAGCCCGTAAGAATAAATGACTGAAACTTTCCATTTTGGTCAATCACATGGATCTTTGGTGTATTGTTACACACATATATACGGCCCTTCGAGTCCGTCACCACACCTCTGGGGATAGAAATATTGTAAGTGAAGCGATGCTTTCCGTCCTGATCAGTAACGACAACTCCTCCATACCAATCTGAAATAACGACGTCAGCGTTGCAGTTTTCCGTAATGTATCGAGGCCACGTGTACATTGGATTGTCGCTGCTGTCACGTTCTATCGTGCTCTGGTATTCCCCATCCTTGTTGTAACGTGAAATTTTGCCTATTCCCTTCTCTTCGTTTTGAAGTCCAATCAAAATATCACCGTTTCGATGGCTGGCATAAATGCTTCGAGCCTTCCATCCATCAACATTAGTTCCGGTGATGAAGTTAACGGACTTGTCCTCGGAGGTGTGTTTTTTGACGGATATTCCGGTCAGGTACACGAGGGAGCCATCCTGAGTTACTGAATGGGCCCCGAATGTGAATCTGAAGCGTTGGATTTCCTTGAGCTTATTCCCGGATTTATCTATGAAGACGACCTTGTTTTCATAGCTAATCCAAAAGTTTTCAGGAGGTTGGAACGCAATATGTCGAAAGCCTTCTATTCCAGAAACTGGCATTTCTTTTACGACTCCCGAGGCTCCTGAAAATTAACGTTAATATAAAAGAATAAATAACTTATAGTCCGTTTTCTGTTTAGAATTACAATTTTATCTTTTAACAATTTCAACTGAAAAAAAACTTTTCAGATATTACGTATGTGTCAATAAGAAATGTTATGACAAACTTTATGATTTTTTAAAATTATGTTCAAATCTATTACCGCGGTGAATTAATAATTTGCCCTGTATTCGTGGCTTTGTTGAGTCTAACCCGATTCGATTATATTCAGAGAATGTTGCGCCCGATCTAAAACACTTACCAGGCCCCTTGTTAGCGGGTATAGGTGGAGGTTTGTCAATGTTGAGAGACTTTTGAAAATCTGCCTCAATTTTGTTGTCGTTATCATCCTGGAGATGGTTGCGAATTTCCCTTACAAGTTCCTCGATTTTCTTTTCAAAAGGATACTTTCCAGAAAATTCAAAGAAAAGTTTGCTGCCAAGAATAAAGCCAAGCCACCCTTTAGCCTTATATCCCCTCTCCATTTTACATGGTATTATGTCTTTTTTAAGCTGCCTTGCATATTCTGCCTCTGAAAACAAAATAACAAATAAAAACTTTAAAATTCAGATAACTGATTTCTTTTGTTATTTAATACATAGGCATCCATGTAATATTACTATTATAAAAAAAAATCAAAAACGGAAATGACAGTCAATTTCGGGACATTCTGGAGCGAAAAGGGGTCGGTTGGTCAATGGGTTGGAACCTGGAGTATTTCTTACACTTAAAAAAATGTCTTTGACTCATAGGAAAAGCGACTTCTCCTAAAACAGTAAGGAAAGTCGTATATTTGTAGATAATTGACTTCAGACCCCCCCCCCCACACACACACTGTACAAAGTAGAAATTATCGGTTTTTTTAGATTAGGAAAGTCATTTTTTTGTTTTGCTAATGAAACATAAAATTGGATCTAACATGCTTCTGCCATCCCCTCACGGAAAAATCCTGGATCCACACCCTGAAAACGGAATATCTTACCCGCCTGGCAGTTTTCGCTTTCGTAGTACTTCTCGGAGAAACACATGAGAAAGATGGCGGAATTCTCCACTGCAGCACTCATGGCTTCTATCGTCGAGCCCGATATATTTTCTACATCGATCCAGCAGTTGATGCCATGTTTCTTCAGACTGTTTCGGATTTTTAGGACCGACTCTTGGTGTTCCCAATCGTAGCTGATCATGACGTCATGTTTTATAGAATCTTCAGATTCTGTCATGATTGTTCTTGTTAATGCAACTAATTCTCTACTCTGCAATTAAAGAAAATCAATATTACCGATATTGGACATTTACTGAATCCCTTTTGTTGATAGCAACCTGTAATAGCTAGTTACACTCGGATGGGTAGAAAACGTTCTCTATGCAACAGTGTATCGTAAACCATATGTTGCAGTTTTCCGACTGAAATTTTTACAATAAGAATTTTCAAACGATTATCATTGCTGCTATTAACTCTAACACAAATATTTCTTTTTACTTACTTTATAATTACGTCGAAATGATTATACCAGTTGTGGGTCAACGATCAAACATGGTGGATAACGTCCATTTATTTCAAAATGGAATTTAAATGTCCAGCAGAGTCATAGCAAGCAGAAACTTGACTGTTATGGCTTCTATATTGACGAGGTTGTTTATGTTTTGGATTAAATAAGTACAATTCATTAACCATAGTTCAATAAATAAATAAATGTACTCGGTATGTAAAGGAATTAACTACTCTGCAACTATTGCAGAAAAAATATCTCGCATAAACGGCTAATGTATTTTTATTGCAATGGTTACAATCGTTAAAACCCGTATTAACAAATTAAAGAGAGCATTTTATCTGGTTATTTATATAAATACATGTAAAAATATGCCACATAATTATAAAATCAAATAATGAAATTCAGATCGTTTATTAAATTGGTATACTAGTATACATGTATACATATACACATTGCTAAAGTATATACCGGTATTTATATATTTTGGAAACCAATTTTAATTTCATTTGAGCAGATCGAAGGATATATATTACAGAGTTACATTACCTCAGTCTTCATTTCAAGTAAGTCTTTACCTCTTTAAAAAAGTCTTTACCTCTACATATTCATTACCGCTACAAAAAATAAGTTTATACATTAACGCTACAATGTTTCCTTTAGCCAATGCCTAAATTCTTGTGCAAATGCGATATAAAGTACCACTGTTACATTAAAAGTTCAAATCTTAAGTTAAACTTATCTATAACTAGATAGTTATAAAAGATATGTTTGAACTTTACATTTAGATCTTAGGGCCTGTTTCCCCTGCTCAACCCCCCCCCCACCAAATAAAAAGACTTCAAGCGGGTTGTATTTCTTGTTCCACACTTACCGTAGGAGACGGATTTTGAGGACTTTTTCCAACACATCTCTACACACTGGATAAAAAAAACTTACAGTATATCGCCTATAGGCTAAATTGAATAGATCTACAATATAAAAGTGAGCGATTTATATGTCACGTGTATGAATGAATAGAACTCGGTTTCATTGTCCTCCATGACCATTAGATTCGTTTGTATCGGTGCTGACTGCTGAGTTTTAATCGCCAATCTTCTTACTTATCAGAAGCAACATTATCATTTCTTATTTTGCAATTAGTTGAGGAGATTGATTGATTGATTGTATGTTGTTTAACGTCCCTCTCGAGAATTTTTCACTCATATGGAGACGCTAGTTGAGGAGAGGAGTACTTCTAAATTTATTTACTTGAACTATTTAAACGGTCCTTACACTGATTTGAAAACCTTTTAAAATGGTCTATGCTGAAAATATGAAAATGGTAATAACTGTAAAATTTGTTCTTTATCACACAAAATCGCTAGGAACCAATAAATATTTGAGATGTGTGTTTGATATCTGAAAACACTAGCTTTTCAATGCTGTACAGTGGCTTCCAAAGAGGGCTAAAATACATAGGTATAATGCGATTGTAATAGAGGAAAAACTTTCCATATTCTTGTCAAGTGCAACCTTTTAGTAAGTGGTAAGTGCATGGATATTTATAATATGGATCATTTTATGGTTTTCGTAAACAGGCTTTAATATTAATTTTTTAATATATGGGTCAGTTTTATTTGTCACCCAACTATGATACCTTCCTTCCGATTTCTTGAATAAAGGTGTAATTTGCACCCATGTATACAAACTTAGTTGTATAAAAACTTCAATTTACTGTAGTTCCCCTGTATTGATTTGTAAATACGTTTATAAATCAATTCATCTACTCATTACTTTGAAAGTTTAAAACATATTTTTGATTGTTAATATGCGTATTTTTAAGCAATTATTTTTAATGCGTATTTTGAAACATTCATTGCAATTTTCTTTTTGTTAATGTGAATCTTATCTGGGATTCTGTTGTAAATCAGAAATGATAAACTGTAATCAATTGCATTAGCGAATATTGAATGACTTCAGCTTTTCTAGCGATCTATCATCAACTTACCTTAGGTACATGTATGTAGCAAATTACCATGATCACCTGCATATGGAATTTATGTTCCCTTGTTCATTCCACAAGTCAAAGCTTTTTTGTCAAATGAACGGTTTTAAAAGTGACAAACTATTAACAAATACAGCAAGTTGATGATCGAAGGATATCAACAGTCTGGTTTAAACTTACCTTTCGCAAATTGTATGACTGATGCAATTACTAATATCTTGTACATGTAAGCTAATACAATGTATCGGTCAATATAATCTCGAATTACGTTTTTTTTTTCAAATAAATTACATAAAAATAAAAATTTAAATCTGTATTGTTTAGTTTTTTTTCTGCTTGCCCTATCACATAATGGATGTGAACGAACGACAGGGGGTGTTTCTTCTTTTTATGATACCTGTTTCCTCTTCTGATATCTTATGGATTATATTACGTATTTGTATTGTACCAATGGACGTTTGAATTTGTTTATAATCTATAACAATAATATTTCATTGTTATGATATTGCAAGTCATGCAGTGATCGCAGAATAATTTTTTCGTATCTTTATATTTTTTGAAGCTCAAAAACACAGTTGTTACACAGAACTCATTAAAATGAAATATTGATGCAAACATCAATATAAATGATCCAGTTTTTGTTTAAATACTGTGATATATGTTTTTCATGATGAACAGATGTCACAAACGCATCATGTAAACTATATAATAAATCAACGGCTGCAAACATGCATACCACCCAAAAATTTACAATGAATTTGTTGGTTGGTTTGTTTTGGGCTTTTGCCTCAATCTCATCCGTAATTAGTACAAAAATGTCTACTCGATTGACACTGGGTCGACATGAAGATAAGACGTTATCGAAGGAGCTGTCTCAGTTGCATTTTCAGCTTTTCAACACGATTCAGAACAATACAGATGCGATAGAGGTATGGAAGATAAAAGAGTAGTAAAAAATATAAAGATTGTAGGATGAGTAATTTAATAGTTAAATTGTTCATAAATCGGTATTTTCTTGCCTACAATTGTTTAACTTATAATGATTGTGATATATTTTAAAGTCGGCGTATTTTGAAACCTACTGCACAACAAAGGGATGCAAATTTACCAAAAACCAGTGCAGCACAGACGTGCCAAAAGAAAGTCAAATACAGAAGGAATTGAATCAAATAAAGGGATATATTGAGAATGTTTGCAGGAAACCCATGCCAAAGAGTGAGCATTGCTATTTTAATAATATTAATTTCCTACTTAAAGTTTATAACATTGATCCAAACGGTCATTAAAACGTGTCGTACATGTATTTAACAGAATGCAAAAGGGGTTGGAAGAAGTACAAGGGACATTGCTATACACAGCCAAGTGTTCGTCTGAATTGGTATAGTGCTCAGGTTTGTGACCATTCGTAACCATATATTTTTGTTTTGCATCTTCAAACTTTTATGAATGGAGAGAATACGTACATGTATTGTTGCACACTTCCTTTGCAAAATTTCATAGTGATTAGAATTAAATGCAGCAATGTCATTTATATTTTCAAAGCCTAATACTTATGTTTGTATGTATTAAAAAACTATTAAATTCAGATGTTCTGCAGAAGACGGAATGCTCATTTAGCCAGAGTTGATGACAAATACGAAAATCACTGGCTTGCACATGCATTCCCTGAAAGTAAGTTATTAGACGTGATCTGAACTGAAAATTATAACTTTTTCCCTATATTACAAGTTCGATGCTACGAAGAAATGTACATTTCCTGGGATATACTTTACACAATAGATAATTTTTTTCCTCGATCGCACAAATGTTTAAAGATCAGAATTTACGAAGTTATTTTTGTATAATTATATAGTTTGGTTTCCATTACTCCAGCAAATGCTTTTTTCATTATCATTTCAACAATGAGGGAATATTTAGTACACATTTAATCACTTTAATTGTATTTCAGAAAATTGGTACATAGATTTCACTGATCTTGGCGATGAAGGTGCGTGGAAATCTTTCACTTTTGGTGATAGAGGGATGTACACAAACTGGATTCGAGGCAACCCTAGTAACTCTGACTCTGCTGAACACTGCGCAGAAATATATTGCGAAAATTTGGGATTATGGAATGATGTCCCTTGTCACTTCAAGCTAAAATTTGTTTGTGAATCTTTCGGTAATTTATCTTTATCAATAAGAACTAGTTTTCAGACCTGACTTGTACTGAAATTAGAATATCATTCTGTTATAGTTTGATCCAGGTATCTATATTTCACTTTCGTTTTGTTTTTCTTTCACAGGTATCTGAGAATGATCGACCTATTGTGAAATAAAATCTGTAATGAAATAAAGGAATACTTGTCTATGAAGTATTTTAATTTTCATTTTTCTGAGTTTTATTTGAAAAAAATTCAAGAAACTATTTTTTTTTAAATTAATGAATCAATTATCTTAAAAAAGTTGCATACTTTTTCTTATCGTGAGTAGAGAGGTAGAAAATTAGTGTCTTTATTTAAAATAGTAGTACACAGTTTTTCTGTTTAAATCCTTTCGGAACTAAACATTTGATAGAAAAAAAAATTCTGCGAAAAAAGTATATATTCATCAATTTAAAACGATCTTGTTATTTGCAAGTCATTTATTTAATTGAAGGAATACAGAAGTAGTGGATTTAACCTTCAAGAAGTCGGTATAATGGAGGTATAGATAAGTGTACAGCACAATTTACCAATAATGAAGTAAAAGTACTTGATGGCAATTGCTGTGTAAACGAAAATTAAACTG